CAACCTGCCCTCTTAGTCACATAAATTTTTTTTTTATTTATTTATTGAATCACCGTGGGAAAGGTTACAAAGCTTTCAGGTTTAGGTCTGTCATGCAAATATCAAACACATTTCCCTTTACCAATACTTTTTTTTTTACCATGAAGAACCCCAATAAAACCCCACCCCCCACCCCTCCCAGTCCCTGTGGGGCAGATGAATTCTAGTTAACACTCTATCTGCTTTGATTAGATTCATTGTTTCAATAAAAGATTCACCACTATTATTTAGAGTTTACCCCCCCCCCCCCAATCAGACAAGCTGAAAAAACATTGTGACGTGATTTGCTTTCTACAGCTGGGTTCAAGAATTAAATGTTGGTTTTGGATTTCTGCTATTTTACCTATTGACCCTGGAAGTATTTCTACTGAAAGTCAGATAGTTAAGAAATTGGTTTCTGTGTTCTGGAGTCGTGGCCGTGCTGGAGAGCCGCTAGTGGGGAGCAACTGGTGGCCTCGGTAGGGCGTGAAGGGCGGACCGAAACACCCCCTTCCCATGAGGTTTTAGTCGCCCCCACTCCCCCGGCTCATACCTGCTGTCCACAAGGCTCCCATGCGGCCGCCATCTTTCTTTCCAGAGAGGAGAAGGCGACTGGGGCAACACCCTTTCCCCTCCGGACAGACATGATGGCCTGGATTAATGCATAGTCCTTTCACTTTTCTGCTCCAAGCTGCCGGGTTCTGCATTAAGTCCCTGTGCTTCTGGGGCTGTGGCCCTGCTGGAGAGCCACTCGCGAGTCACATAAAATTTTACTTTGTATTCCTTGCTCCAACAAAACTGAAATGGCGAATAGAATGATCAGAAAATAAATCAGTAGGAGCCAATTTGTAATTACTATCTGATTTTAACCTAGGTAAATAAGGAAATTAAAACCATTTAATACAATAAAATAAACTTAAATGGCAAATAAAATGATCAGAAAATAATTCAGTAAAGCCACTTTGTGACTGCTATCTGATTTTAACTGATAAGGAAATTAAAACCATTTAATACAATAAAATGAAATGCCTATTCTCATTTGCATAAGTAAGTTTTCAACTCTGGTATTTAAAATATATCGCATTAAATTTTATTTTGCACTTAGATATCATCATGTCTTACCTGTCATTAATAAAACAAAAAATTCTCTGTTAATAATTTTTGGAGTTTACATGAAATAGGTCAGACTTATGTATGCAAATTTCTCCTGTACACTTTTTGAAACACTGTGGTTTATAAAGTTGTTCATGATGATTTGTTACAGGCATTCACTATTCTAACACCAACCCCACCACCACTATTACTCTCCCTCCACCATTGTCTTCAATTTTCCCAATCATCCCTCAAACCTGGCCCCTTAACAGACCCACAACAATAATTTATTTTATATTGCTTGTTACCAATAAATTGCTAATGAAATTATCAAAACATAGTGGGTAGGGCATTTGCCTTGCATACAGCTGGCCCGGCGACCCAGGCTAGATTCCTCCGCCCCTCTCTGAGAGCCCGGCAAGCTACCAAGAGTATCTTGCCCACCCGGCAAAGCCTGGCAAGCTACCCAGGATGTATTCGATATGCCAAACACAGTAACAGCAAGTCTCACACTGAAGATGTTACTGGGCCCTCTTGAGCAAATCAATGAACAACGAGAGGACAGTGACAGTGATTTCTTTAGAAGAAAGTATAAATTATTGTATCTCACCATGGAAACAAGTCCTTGTATGAGGGCTTAATAAGATGTTGCTAAAAGTTAAGGTTTCTGTATTAATGTTTCTGTTAGCTGATTGGTTGGCTTCCATGTTATATCCTATCCAGTCTGGTGTGCTATTATTGGATTATAAGAGTTGTAGAGTAATGGCTGTGCACTCTAGGATATCCAAAATATTTAACTGGGCAGTACAACTGGAGTTAAATTTTTAATTGGGTGGTGGCTTTTGGATGTGGACATGACTGCTGGACTCCCAGCAGTGCAAGGAGGTGGAGGGAGGTAGCTCATTCTGACTCTGAGAAAGCCTGGAAATTTCTGTCACAGGGACCTGTCATATACCTGAGTTCTTGAAAGGTTAATTTCTCTGTGAGGCTCGATCTGGAGACATTGGGGGCTGGCTGGAAGCATGGTGATGACATTGGAGTGTTGCAGTGAACAGCTGTGGGGGTTCTGTTTGTGTGGATGCTGGCTTGCCCCCCTCCAGTGTGCCTCAGATATTCAACCAGGAATGGGTATTCAAGAAATTTTGCGACTAGTTGATCTCTTTTGAGATTTATTTATGAGTCTCTTGAGCAAGGCTGGTAGATATGCTTACGTGGTGGTGCTGGTGTTTCTTCTTTTCAAAAAAGATTTGGTTTGCTTAGCATTTTTCTCAATAAAAGAGTGGTCATATTGCACATTGTCCTCTTAATATTTCTAAAAAAACAATGGAAGATATATTTAAACAAAGATATTCAGGCTCTAGATTAAGTAAAATATCTATTATCTATCTATCTTTTTATGTATCTATAATTGCAACTATAGCATTTTTACTCAAAGGAGAAACAACAACAAAAAAATTGAAGACAGAAAGGCAATTGTGAAAAATTTCATCAGTGATTGTCTTTAAATAGAGATCTCTTCTTTTCCTTTCAATTTCTTTACATTTTACATTCTTATTATAATGCAACATATATTATTTTGAGTGAGGAAAAAAGAAATTAGCTAGAAATCAAAAACCAAGAACCAAGGAGTTGTCCTGTCAATCAATCTTTTTTTTTCCTTTTTGGGTCACATCCAGCGATTCTCAGGGGTTACTTCTGGCTTTGCATTCATTCTTGAGTAATTCCTTACTTCTGGTGGTGCTTGGGGACCATATGGGTTGCTGGGAACCAAACTCAGTAGGCCACGTGCAAGGGAAACACCCTACCCACTGTGCTATCACTCCAGCCCTTAATCTTCTTCTTCTTCTTCTTCTTCTTCTTCTTCTTCTTCTTCTTCTTCTTCTTCTTCTTCTTCTTCTTCTTCTTCTTCTTCTTCTTCTTCTTCTTCTTCTTCTTCTTCTTCTTCTTCTTCTTCGTCGTCACACTCGGGGATGCACCGGGGTTACTCCTGGCTCTGCACTCAGGAATTACTCCTGGCAGTGCTCGAAGGACCATATGGGATGCTGGGAATTGAACCTGGGTTGGTCACATGGAAGGCAAATGCCCTACCTGTTGTGCTATTGCTCCAGCCCCAATCAATAATCTTTTACTGCCAAAATTGTCAGAATCTTAGAGTATTTTGGCAGATGGGTGTTGGGGAGTGAATCCAGGGTCTCACACATACAAGACAGATGCTCTAGCACTGAGCTAAATCTCTGACCCTACTCACTGTTAGAGTCTTTGATCTAATCTTAGTTGTGTGATTTTAGAACAAGCTCTGAGCCATCTGTGCCTTTTACAACTGATATTTTCTGTTCACGAATCCAAGCAAATTAGTGTGTCTCTTCTTGGTTCATTTTTTTCTATGTAGAGGTTAGTACCCATGGGTGAGTTGTTTTCAAAGCTGATCTTGGAAAGGTTCCTGAATCTTAGTGCCTTTGAAGGTCTTGTCAGCGCTTGTTGGGTGGGACCTGTCAGTTAAAGACTCACTGAACTGTGTTGTTGAATCTGTTTGAGTTCATTCTCTCAGTTCTTTCCACTGTCTCATTGGAATCTTCTTGGAGACCCCTACCAACTAAGGAAGTAATTATTGAAAACATTACTTCCTTCTTAAGGTTCCCTTTGCCCACATCCACCCCAACGTCTCTCAACTTTTGATTATCTTCCTGTTCCTTGGCACTTTATCTCTAACATCTTAGAACATTCACTTAAAAACTGTGATTGAGGGGCTGGAGCGATAGCACAGCAGGTAGGGAGGGCATTTGCCTTGCACGCGGCCAACCCGGGTTCGATTCCCAGCATCCCATATGGTCCCCTGAGCACCGCCAGGAGTAATTCCTGAGTGCAGAGCCAGGAGTAACCCCTGTGCATCGCTGGGTGTGACCCAAAAAGCAAAAAATAAATAAATAAAAAAATAAAAATAAGAGCTAATTTCAAGAATTGAAAGATGGCAGAGTGCAAAGCATCTAAATAGACTAGCAGAGAAAAAAATAAAGAAAAATAAATAAATAAATAAATAAAAACTGTGATTTGGTGCACATGCTGCCTGAGCACATGTGTTGCCTGCATCTCCCCTCTTGAGATGTGTACTTTCATGTTTTCATGTCTAATGCTGGGATGGGTGTGGGGACTCTCTCTGCCCTTGGAGAAGCCAAGGCTCTCTTTCAAGTAGGTCACTCTCTCTCTCACTTTCTCTTCCTCCTTCCCTTCAAAACCTCCAAATAAAAACTGTGTAATTTCAAAAAACAGCAACAGCCAAAAAATGCATAAAAAACCCCCCAAAACCTGTGTGATTAGAGAGATGCAAATATTTCAGAAATACACTTGGGTGAACAGCTTAGGAATGCCTCCCCGAAGAGGCATATGAAAGTAAGGATCGGGGAAGATGCACACTTTAAACCCAGGCTTTGGGGAGGAAGTAGGAACTTTAAAAGACAACAATTTTTTTCCAAGTTGTAAAAAAAGGCCTACTGTCATAAAAATTGGGTATTCTGTTTTCTTTCTTTTTTTTAGAGTCAATTTTCAAATGCAGATGGCCTATGCTTTCTGCACCCTTGTTTCAGTGCACTGCAGATTACACTCAACTCTGGTCTCTCACCTTATAGCAATAGTTTGAATCTGAAGTTTTCCTTGTCTCTATACTTTGATGCAATTTGTGCTTTAATACCCTATAGGGGTTGTTGACCACTCCATCTCTCTAGACTGCAACCCGGTCCATGATCATTGATCCTACTCCAGTCCATCCACCTTTTGCTTGCTAATTATGTGTGAGACACTCATCATTCATTCTGCCTTGAAATTAGCTTTTAGTTATTGAATAAGTAAACCCAAAACGGAAGGCTTTTGGAAAAGTCTTTTCTGGAGAAAACCCCTCATGTATTGGAGCATTTATTCCAGGCAAGAAGTTTCCACAAAGCCCCTTTCATATCCTTGTTCCTCAGACTGTAGATAAAGGGGTTCAGCATGGGAGTAACCATTGTGTATACCACAGATGCCATCATTCCAGTGTCTTCTGAGTAGGAGGATGAAGGCTGGAAATAGACCAGAAAGACAGCTCCATAGAAAAGATTAACAACTGTCAGGTGAGATCCACACGTGGAGAAGATTTTGTGCTTCCCCCCTGCTGAAGGGACCTTGAGGATAGTGTGGATGATGTGAGCATAAGAGACCAGGACACAGGTGAGTGGCACCACTCCTGAGAGGGCTGCTTCAGCAAACATCATGAGCTGAAAACTCCAGGTGTCTGAACAGGAAAGTCTGAGGAGGGGCAGGAGATCACAGAAGAAGTGTGGGATGGCACGGGAGGCACAGAAGGAGAACTGAGACATGAGGAGAGTGAGTGAGAAGGCCAGGAGGTGGGAGCAGAGCCAGCACGTGGTGACCAGGAGCCGGCAGCGTTGGGGATGCATGATGAGGGTGTAGTGGAGAGGAAGGCAGATGGCCACATAGCGGTCATATGCCATAACGGCCAACAGAAAGTCATCCAGCAATGCCAATGTCATGAAGAAATACATCTGCAGAAGGCATCCAGTGTAGGAGATGGTGTAATGATGTGTCTGGAGGTTGACCAGCACTTTAGGGACAATAGTGCAGGAGAAGCAGGTGTCGATGAAAGACAAGTTGGCCAGGAAGAAGTACATTGGGGTGTGGAGGTGATGGTCAGAGCCAATGGCCAGGATGATGAGCAGGTTCCCCACTATGGTGACCAGGTACATGCCCAGGAAGAGCCCAAATAGGAGTGGCTGCTGTTCAGGGTGTTGAGAGAAGCCCAGGAGGAGGAAGTCAGAGATTGGGGTGAAGTTTGTAGTTTCCTTGCAAGGCAGAGAGATGAGAGGAGTCTGTTAATTTATGGAAGCTGGGCGTCTAAATATAACACACTCTGAGTTTTCTCTATCTTCTGCTCTAGAGAAGTGTGCATCCTGGTTGGTCCTTCCCTGCCCTCAGTGTAAGGAGGCCAGTTTTATATTTACCCAGAGAAATTCCCAAGGTTGCAAGCCACCTGGTCTGAGTGTTTGCCACTTGGCAGCATGTGTAACTGCCTAACAGAATCATGACATTTTTACTGAGATAACAGATACCGGTCAGCTACTGTGAAGGGTTGTATTACTATTGTCATTGTGCATAAGAGTTGATGAGATGTACTTTAGGGAACACAGTGTAGCTTCAGACCTTTGGATGGGGTGCGTACTGTTCTGCTCTCACATGACACTAACATTTTGACTTCCTTGCTTTTCTGGCATCTAAGATAATTTTTGACTTCCTTGCTTTTCTAAGATAAAAGTTGTTTCCCTCACCCGCTGGTTTTCTTGAGTGGGCCAATCGCTCAAATCATTTTAAGTTTCTTCATCAAGCATGATGTATAATCAAAATGAGAGACTCCAAACATTACTTTGAATTAGTGCCATGAAGACAATTGCAACAAGTTCTCAATATATCTTTCTTATCTGACCTAATTTGACCCTCTTTACTCTTTCTTGGCATGGCCCAGGAACCGTTTAACCATTTTGGCTTCAGTGTCTTTATTCATTTGCAATAATGGCATGTACTCTATAGTGTTTTTCATGAGGAATAAATTAAATGATGATTTTTATTATATATTGACTATGCCTGGAATATAGTGAGTGCTCATCATTTTGTATAATTGTTGTTTATTGCTGCTTTAAAAAGTGAGGACAAAATTATTTCATGTCTAAATCATTGCCAGGACTTGCACACTATGGAGGAATTAGTACCCAAAGCCATCATCATTGCTATCACATTTATGTGGTCATGTTTTTATTCAGAACTGCCAATGGCAGAGTATTTGTAGTGACATTTTTATAAGCAAGTAAAAACTTGGTTAAACAACTTACTCATCAGATGTTTCAAATAATTAGTTGTGATATTAAATATGGAGTAGCCTTTTGTTAATAATTAAAAATTATTGATAAATGAGATTTTCTATTTGTGGTCAAATCTGCAGTGCCTGACTTACTTATTCCTGTGGGGGTCAGGGGGTGGCGGTGGGAATGAGGGACCATGCAGTGGTGGATATTGAGCCTAGGGCATCTGCATGCAAAGCATACCTTTCAGTCCTATAAGATACATTTCCATTCTTTTTTTTTAAAAGAATGTTAAATAATAGGTAAACTATAAATATAGGTAAACTATAAATATATGTGGAGGAGCATATTACTGGTATTAACTGAACATGGTTCCTGAGAGAGTTTCTGGTAACTGCACCGAATGGACTAAGAAAGATTAGCTTTATTTTATTTATTTAATTAATTAATTAATCAATTTTTGCTTTTTGGGTCACACCTGGCGATGCACAGCATTTATCCCTGGCTCTGCACTCAGAAATTACCCCTGCCAGTGCTCAGGGGACCATATGGGATGCTGGGAATCGAACCCAGGTTGGCCGCATGCAAGACAAATGCCCTATCTACTGTACTATCGCTCCAGCCCTTAGCTTTATTTTAACATGGGTTCATGTATCTGATGGACTTTCAGAAAGGTGACCTGAGAATGAGTTGTATGCTTTTAGGTTAGGCTGTGAGGGATGTGATGATCACAGACATAGACATTCTTCACAATGAACAGAAAGATAATAATAAAGAGGGATAGAGGAATTAAATGATAAAAAAAAAAGAATGGAGATGCTCTCTGGGCTTTAAGCATGTCTCTGTGTGTAGCCTCTATGCTCTTTAACTATCTCTGTGTCTAGTTCTTACCTGGAGTTGCTGAGCAGCCTGAATCTCTGACATGTCCATGAGGACAATTGGGCTCTGCTGACCTACTGTCAACCCAGGAAGACATAGTTGAAGGCACACAGCCCTGTCCTATCTATTGGACAGCATAGACTGAAGACTCAGGGCTTTCACAGGACCCAGGAGGAGTAACCAGCTTTTCATAGACAGTGTCCCCTGGGACTCAATCCCAGACCTCCTAGTTAGAGAAAGGATGGTGCAATTGTCCAATAACCTGGCTATTCCCTTTGAGCTGTGGTCTCCTGAAACCAGCACTGTCAGTGAAAATCTCCATCAGAACGACCAGGTCTGGGATCCAGTCGTGAATTTTTTTCTCTTGGGAGAAGGCAGCTTGGATGCATATTTCCAATCCTGGACTGTCCCTTCCACTGTCATGGACCTGACATTTTCTAACTGGAGCACACTCTTCATGCAGGAAGAGAGTGTGTTCCAGGAAATAAGTGAAAAATAGACAAAAGCCATAATAGAACACAATTATTGCCTTCAAACGCCATGTCTAAAAGGAAGCATTGTTCATTTGTATGACCCTAGAGCAAATCAATGAACAACAGGAGCACAGTGCTACAGCGTAGTGCTATGACCCTAGAGATAGAGCTGACTTACCCACAGAGCTCTAGATAAGGTGCTATGTTTGGAGTTTCAGATTCATTTTTGCTTTAAGTTTTTTATATCAATATATAAAAGTGAATATAAATAACACGTATTATTTAAGGAACTTGATTGAAATGGATGTCCACTCTCCCACCATGCACTTTTTAAAATTTTTTTTATTAGTGAAACACCATGAGGTACAGTTATAGACTTGTAAATTTTTGTGCTTGGGTTTCAGTTATACCATGATCAAGTACCCATCCCTCCACCAGTGCCCATCCTCCACCACCACCGGTCCCAGCATCCCTCCCACCCCCCATACTCCCCAATCCCACCCTGCCTCTGTGGCAGGGCATTCCCCTGTTTTCTCTCTCTCTTCTTTTGGGTACTGTGTTTTGCAAGAGAGGAATTTAGTGGCAATCATGTTTGGTCTATAGTCTACTTTCAGCATGCTTCTCCCACCCTGGGAGGATTCTCACAACAGCCTTTATTTGGTGCTCTCTTCTCTATCTGAGCTTCCTTTTCCCCTAGCACGTGTGGCTGGCCTCCAAGTCATGGAGCAAAATTCCTGGTCCTAATCTCAGCCATTCCTGGGTGTTAGTCTCCCACACCATGCACTTTAAAGAGCTGATGGTTTCACTCCTTTAGAATTCCTTGAGTGAACCTCTTTTCATATTCCTTTCCTTCTCCTTTAGATAAATCAATATTTTGCATGTAATGTGCCATTTTGTTGTGTTTGTAGTTTGCTGCTTATGCTCTTCTGTCTTCAATGTGTACAGTATTCTTTGATTTTGCACATTTTGTCCTTTCTGTACAAGGAACTTTACTTTTTTGCATCCATCTATAAATTGATTATTTTGTTCAAAGTAGCTCTTCAGTTCTTTCATAGGCTGCATAAAGTCCAGGGGCATTCCTGCTGACGTACTTATGGTGGACTTTGCTTTTCATTCCACATTCTTGTTTTCCATTGAGTTTTAAATTTTAGAAGTTCATATTTGGAATCATGTGTATAATGTTTATGATTCTCTCAGAAGTTTCTAGGGTAGCACTTTACAGTAAAATGCTTAGTATTTCCACAATCGGTAGAATGTATATTCACTAATTTTGTTTTAATTAAAAAGATTAAATAATACAATACTACTTTAATACACATATTAAAGACTGACAATAGCCCAGTATAAATCCACAGCATGTTTTTTTCTGTATTTAGTATTATTTCATTTTGTATGTTAAAGAAATAAATGCAACAATTGGAAGAAATCAATTACAATCTGCTAAAGTTTTTAAAAAATGGCACAGATAGCTATATAAAGCTCAAATATTCCCCAGAAGAGAAAATTTTTAAATGATTATCTCTGTATAGTTTTTCAACTTTAGAAGACAAACTTGTTAGCATGTGAAGCTTTTTGTCATTTTTCATTCACCATTTTTATCTCTGTCTTAATTTTGCCTGTTTTTGAATTTTATGTATGTGCACTCACCATTATGTTAGCTTTTTTGCTTCCCCTTTCTTATTTTGTTCTGTATTTTGTTTGTGGGGTCTTCTTGATTGCAGTGCATAGTGTTAGTTTGTTCATTTCCAAGTTCTGAGTCACTCTGTTATAGCATGACGCCATACCCAGATGTCCCCTACTTTCTGAAAGTGCACATTCTGCTGTTTAATTTTCTCAAAAATCTTACATTAGTGCCAGAATTAGCTGTATGAGAAAAATTGGGAAAGGAGTTTTAATTTTCATACATGGTGAACTGTGTAAGCAGCACTCACCATTGGTTTTATGGCAGGTCATTCTAGAGGCAATGTGCCTTACGGGACAAGAGTTGCACCACCTAGATCCTTCCTGGATAACCATTTTTAGAATGTTGTGTGTATCATATCACTCCTGTTTGTACTATGGACTAGTGTCTTTGTTTTGGTTTGTTATTTTTATGATTTGGTAGGATTGTCAACAACACTGTCCTCCTGTTGTTTATTGACTTGCTCGAGCAGGCCCAGTAACGTCTCCATTGTGAGACTTGTTGTTACTGTGTTTGGCATATTGAATATGTCAAGGGGAGCTTGCCAGGCTTTGCCATGTGCGAGAGATACTCTTGGTAGCTTGCCGGGCTCTCTGAGAGGGGTGGAGGAATTGAACCCGGCTCGGCCGGGCTGGCTGCGTGCAAGGCAAATGCCCTACAACTGTGCTGTCATTATTTCGGTAATCGTTACATTTTTCCCCCCATATAAATTAATGGCAAAGCTATGAATAAAGCTCAGTGGTATAAATCACCTGTCTTTCAAAAATGTCCTATGTTCCATCCCTGACACTATAGAATAGATAAATAAAAATCAAATTAATGGAATTGCTTCTTTGTTTTATACAATTTCTGCTTGGAATGGCTTAGTTGGAAATATAGACTTCTGAATAGTAAGGAAAACCAGTGTTTACCATATTATTTATTGCTGAAACAATAGTTTACTGCAAAATTTTTTTGTTTTGTTTTGTTTTGTTTTGAGCACCTGGTGGTGCTCAGGACTTACTTCTGGCTCTGCACTCAGTAATTCTCATGGCGGTGCTCACATCATGAGGGATTCCGGGGATTGAACCCAAGTTGGCTGTGTGCAAGGTAAGTGTGCTACCCTCTGTGATATCTCTTCAGGTCATTGTTTAAATTTTTGGCTGTTAGAAATAGTGATCATTCTTGCTATTTTTTGACATACATATTTATTCATTTTTCTTCATAACTAGGAGTGCTGACTTCCAGGATATCCAGAGTTTCTGTTTTAGTAAAGAAAGTCAAAACAGCTTCAAAGGATCTGGCATTTCTACCAGCAGCAGGTGAGAATTTCAGCTATGCTACAATCTTTTTTTTAATAATTAAAAATATTTTATTTTTATTTATTCACAGGGCTAGAGCGATAGCACAGCGGTAGGGCGTTTGCCTTGCATGCAGCCAACATGGCCGACCCGAGTTCGATTCCTCCGCCCCTCTTGGAGAGTCCAGCAAGCTACCGAGAGTATATCGCCCGCACGGTAGAGCCTGGCAAGCTCCCCGTGACATATTCGATATGCCAGACACAGTAACAACAAAGTCTCCAATGGAGACGTTACTGGGCCCGCTCGAGCAAATCGATGATCAACGGGAGGGCCTTTACCTTTACCTTTTACCTTTATTCACAGGTGCACAATAATTTACTTTATATTGCTTACAACTAAATAGCTCAAGGAATTATAAAAAATAGTTCAGTGAAAGAACATTTTTGAAAATTTTTATGTCTCACCACAGAGTAGTTAAGTCCTTGCCTAAGAATTTACTAAGCTGTTCATTGTTAGTTGAGCCTCCTGTGTTAATCGTTTTTGTTTATTGAGTTTAATTGGCTTCTATGTTACTTTTTCATCTAATTTGATGTGCTCCAACTGGAATTTCAGTGTTGTGGAATTTGTGCCAAGAGGTCCAGAGACTTCAGAATCTGTAGTCTTGGCCCATGAGTGGACATGGTGGTGGCTGTGTGAGGTGGATGTGGCTGCTGGGGCTTCAGGAAGTAGAGAGGGGAGGGGGAGATTGCCGGTCCCCAGTTCAAGAAGACCCCAGAGTTCTCAGCCTGGACACTGGAATATCTGAATCTTTTTGTGGTCTGGCTTTTCTTCAGAGATTATTAGTGAAGTAGTGGAGTTGAGTAGTTGGTATGACTGCAGTGGTGGGGTGTGGGTGCAGCTTCCGGGGCTTCTGCAGGGTGGGAACTCAACCTCAGACCCCTCCCTAGGGTACCCAGAGATTTCATCTGGGAGGATAACCATCACATACTACAATATTGATACCATCTTATGGTGTCCATCTTTGTCACTATTGTTATTTTATTGGCCGGTGGAAACTTACATTGTTTTGATTTTGTTTTTCAGTAGTTAATAATAAAGAGTTCAAGAACTTTGAAATGCTTGGCACTCTGGTTTCCTAAGTTTGAAAATGCTTCCTTAATATTTTTGCTCAATCTTTTTTTTTTACTTTTTTCTTTTTTAATTTTTATTAGTGAGACATCATGAGGTACAGTTGTAGACTTACAAATTTTTGTGCTTGGGTTTCAATTATCACAATCACACAATCACAAATCATCCTGTTATTCGTCGATTGCCTCGAGCAGGCCCCAGTAACGTCTCCTTCATCCTAGCCCTGAGATTATATTCAAGGCTCTTTAGGAGAATGAGACCCATCATTGTTACTGGTATTTGGCATATTGGGTACGCCACGGGGAGTTTGCCAGACTCTGCCGTGTGGGCAGGCTATATTCGGTAGGCTGCCAGTTTGTCAAAGTAGGAATGAGATGTCATAATAAGATGTCGCGCGGCCGCCAATGGTTGGGGCCGGGACCTGGTGGGGGTGGGGAGGAAAGCTCAACCTGCTCCCCTCCAAGGGATCCCGGCGAGCGAGGACAGTCA